ATGCTGAATGTGAGAACCGTGCTGACTGGGAGTCCAAGAGTCAAACCAGTCAATGCTTTGCCACAGGTTTCCTGGTAGGCTCTGGGACCATCAGCATTACTGAAAAACTTGAACAGGACTTTCCTGGTGGGAAATGCTTCTCCTCAGCTGTCCCACCTCAAGCTGCCTCAAGGCAGCTTGTGTTTCCACCTTCCAAGCAACCCACACCGTTACTTTTGTACCTCCTCAGAGCTCCTTTAACCTCAGAGGACTGAGTACCTGTGAGCCTTCCCCATCCAACAGTCACAGGGACCCACAGCTTGGATGGGCACCCTCAAAGTACTCCGATATCACCCACATCCCCAAACTGTGCTGGGTCTCCCAAGAATCTTATAGGATATACCCATGGTTTCTTTAAAAGTAGTCTCTCTTCTCCCTCCGTCATCCAACATGCCAACACCAGGATGCTCACCAAGGGGATGCTCACAAAGGTGGCAGAAGGTGTGGGTTGAGTGTTGTTCTCCAGCTCAGGGGAACATCTGGCAGCCCTAGCTGCCAGGGAGTGAGCGATAAGAGGGCAAATCGCTCTCAATCACTCCTTCGAAAAAGCCCAATCCTGCATTACCTACACATCATGCAGTTAAAGAAAAGGAGTAGAATACATGGGCATGAACAGAGACTTAGTTGAGGCAATTGCTTAAAAAGAGCTGGGCTCCCTGCTGCCTTGGTACCTTACGCACAGTTGAAATAAACAGGACTGTAAGACAGTATTTTCCTAAGGTCAGGGAACAGGCATATTCTCTTGCAATAAAATCTACGAATCATGTGGACAGAATACACCAACAGCCCTTTAGAGGGGAGGAAAGCTCCTTTCCAGAGGGACTTTGAACTGATCCCACACAAAGCTCTCGTGCTGTTCCAGAAGCAATGCTGCCCTTAATGGTGACTGCGTAAGCAGGTGATCTAACAGCATCAAGTCCTGAGCAGCTTACCAAGAATTTATTAGTACTGAATAAATACCTACTTCATTGAATAACTCTTGGCAGCTGTAGAATAAGGTTTCCAGGATCCCACAAGTAGGGCACAAGTCACAGGACAGTCCCCTTGAGCCTGAAGACAGTCTGCTCTTGTTCTAAAGTAGCAAAGGAAATTAAAAGTCAAAATTTGCTTGTGGGAACAAGTTTCTGCTTAGTATTGAAGCTATCTCTGGTACATCTGTAGAAATGCCTACACAGTAATTCCAGGTAGTGCAGCAGCTGCTATGCAGGAGAGAAAACAAGCCCAGAAAGCAGTGCAGTAAGCTGAGTTCACATTTTATAATGGTAGTTTATCAGTGATTTTTGTCTGCGCTGAAGCTGCCTACACACATGCAGGCTGGAGTGGCTGAAAGCAGTTTAGCACAGCGTGGCTCCTCTGAACAACAGCGCATCACCAGACCCGGGTTTCAGAGCACCAGCACACCCAAGCTTCCAAACGGACACTGGTGACCACGTGAACATTTCTGGAAGAGGAGCTGCCCTTCAACACGGGTTAGGGCTGGGCCAACCACTAAAAGGTGGACAAATGCTCTCTAACCCCCTCTTCCCCCCCTAAACAGGAAGGAAAGGGGAAAGAGGCCGAGAGGTTAGAAAAGAAAATCTAGAATAGCTTTAATGAAACAATAATGGAAATAATAGTGAAATGATAAAAATAAAGAACTATATACAACTATATATAAGCCCAATATCAAACACAACTCCCTGCCCTGAGAGCAATCCTCACTGATGCTGCAGAGCAGGCAGCACTGGGGAAGCCCCAGGCTCAGCGGCAGTGGGAGCTGGATAAGGGAGTTAGATTCAGGCACTCAGGATCCGGATCAAAAGCAGGAGACCAGACAGAGTCCTCCCTGGATGACGGCCATTGAAGAAAAGGGAAAGAAACTCTTGTGATCACTCAATTTACACTAAATATGACGTATATGGAAGGGAATACTCTTGTTGGTCACCTGTCTTGTCTATTATCCACCAGAGGTGCAACCTTTTACTTCCTTCTGACCCCTCTCACTACTCGGCACCCCCAGCGTGGCACACAAGAGCCAGCAGTGGCTTTGGGCACTATAGGAATAAGTATCAGCAAGAGCCTTTCTGCATCCCAGTCCCAGGCAGTAACTGTAAACATCAGGTGTTATCACTGCCAGTAGCACACACTGTTTGCAAAAACACAGTGCCGGCTTCAGAAAGTGCAGCCTTTTAGAAGAGACTGAGCTGGAAAGTAAAAATCATTGAACAGAATTGGTTTTGTTTAGCTCAAACCAGGACATCCATATGCTGCTTGTAATCCCCTTCTGTTCAGAAACTACACACAGCAAAAGCGTGCACGGATGCTGCTACTATTTGCAAGTTTTTCTTGGGCAGGGACAGGTCAACCCTCACGAGCCACAAGCACGTTGCTGACAGTACGCACTAATGAACAGTGAGATGTTCCATCTCGCCCCCAAAAGCCAGGAAATTCAAACTCGGTTTTGCAAATGTTCCCAAGTATCCACCACCATTGAGCCGTCTTACAAAACAAAAAGGCTATATAAAGAAAAACTACCAGACATTTCTTGATGCAATACCAATTCGCCTCAAGTTAAAAATAAGAAGTTTGGATGTTGTGACATTTCAGAAGAAGCCCGATTAGACGCTTGAATTGCACAACACTGCTGATTTCTATGAAAAGTTAACTGAAGGACAAAAGGCTACTAGAACAGGGAAAAAAAATGAAGAATTTTGTTTCTGCCAGTAGGAAGAACAGATCTCAGGCATGGCTAGTTGCAGGTATCACTTACTGTAACAATTTTTAATAATCATTTGAAAACTAGCTGAACATTCGAGTGCGGAATTTAGCTCATTGCAGAATTTTCATTTAAAAAGAGGTCCTTTGAGACCTTCCATTGCCGCTCGGCCAAAAGTAGTCATCAGAGATTTGTACATTCATAGTTTATAGGTGGCACTCGGAACCTTGATTGTTTTCTTTCTCCTTCTTCACGCTATTTATTTGGCCAGTGTTTCCAGATGGATTTGTTTCCTTTTTCCACCCAGCTGCAGTTGAAAACGAGGGCCACGGGCAAGGCCCAACTACCTTAGCTCAAGGCATCCATCCCCACTTCTTTCAAACCCCTTGCAGACCAACTCTCCTGCAATCTCTTAACACTAACATGCACTGTAGGGTGAAATAATTCATTTGCTTACTAAGTCTTAATCCACAGTGCTCTCCTCCCTCTTTACTTCTTAAGCCATTTGCCCTGCCCTGGCTGGCCTGACGGGATTTCTTCATAGAGATGTGCCTATTCTGAGCTCTTTTCGGTACTTGCCCATCATTCTTTGCACAGAATAGCGGGGAATCTTCCTATTACCACAGAAAACATCCAAATACCGTAATGGTAGCTGTGCAAAATCTTGCAGGGCTCAGTTTAGTCTCGGACCACTCAGATCAGAGTGTTCGTGGACCTTGGTGAAGAAAGCCACGTGTCCTCAAAGCAGCAAACTAGCAAGTCCTGTGTGAAAAACTGTCCCAGTCACATGTTCCACAGCTTCACAGCTCCAGCCCCTCTCACATCCTGTCCTTTCTTACATTAGATGCTTTGTAGCCCTGAGATTAATAAGTTGCGAGTTCAAAGGCAGCGAATGGAACTACTTCAGTTACCTGAGCCAAAATTTAACACGGATGTCTTCTGAAGTACACTTGGTGTTCAGTCACCATCTACTCCAAGATTAGAACTGACAACATTATCTGAAACTTTCACCTTCCTTAATTGATTTAATTTACTTTGTATAAAAACACACATTTTTATATACAAGAGCAGAGAAACAAATATTTACATACGATTAAATACACAAAGTCTCAGTATAGATGCTCACCTTTATGAAATAAATGATGCTAAAACCTGTCCTACATTTTCCTGAAAATTTTCAGTCACTGAGGAAGTTGGACCTATCTTCTTACCACAGTACACTTCATTAACGAAGCTTCTAAAATACCCTCCATTTACTGCATGAGAAATACATTAGCTATTAGAGATAAGTATTAATTGCAAGCACACACAATCATAAACCAGAAAACATTATGAATGGTTAAGGCACAATGCTCAGTTTAGTACTACTGTGCAACTGTCTAGGTACTAATGTGTAAAGAAAAAAATAAAAAATAGAAGTAAGCTAGCTCAACTTAATACCATTTACCAGTAGCCTATACTGATCTATGAAGTTTAGTCAAACATCACCAATGCATACAGGACCCAAGTCAGGATCCTGTAATCTGTAGAAATATTGCCCAGGAAACCCTGAGACTGCAGAAGTGGATTACATGAAATGAAATACCAGATGCTAAGATGCGCATGGTCGGACCCTTGTTCAGAAGGGCACACTGCAAATAAATACATGCAATTACTAAAAATCCAAGTTTAAACAAACATGACTATAAATAAGCTCAGCTGACCTAAATTCATGAAAGGTAGAATAGCAAGGAGTAACATCATGTTTGTGTGTGGATTTTCTAAAAACTGTAACATCATATTAAATCTGCTGTTTTCAACATGGTTCAGTGTGAACTCCTTTCTAATCTATTAAAAAAAAAAAGCCACTGAACTCAGTAATAAATGAAAGTTCATTAGGAGAGCTAGACATTCTCCAGTCTCTTTAGACATGCTTAATGCAAATGAGCACTTAGTAGTTTACTAAAAGACTGGCCACATACACAAAGCATGTATGTGAATGCTGAAAAGCATGAAGTGTCAAGCTAAATGCTGTAATAAAAGAGCAGAAAATGGGGTTAAATCAGCAAATAAACTTGCTGGATATCAGATGCTACTGGTAGGCGTAGGCTTTCATATACCATCAGTGTGAACAGTAAAAATAGCAATAATTAAAAGGATCAAAGGCTAAATAACTAAGGAAGGTCTCTTGCATAGCACTGAATTAGAGCGGAGGTGAAGATTAAGACTGAGCCCACGGAACAAGAGTACAACTGAATTGCTGATCCGAAAATATTAAATGAGAAATTCACGCGCTGAGAGTGATCTTCCTCCGTCGAAGTGGGTAGCGTCTTCTTTCTGGTGAATCTGCAGCTCTCTTTCTTTTCAGCAAAACGTATGGATTTTTACGGGTATCAGTGTCTGTCGGTGTGACTTCTCCCGGTGGTACAAAATTTTGGTTGTTATTTTCCTCCGTCTCCTTGCAACCAGCAAAGACTTCTTGCCGCAGCTTGCAGAGTTCCAAGACTGGTTGCAAAGTTAGCGCTTGGGAAAAACCTTCCGCTCTTTCTATTAGCGCTGGGAGAGACTGCAAAAACAAAGCCAAGTATCTCAAGTTACACAGGAAAAGCCACGGTTACAATTAATGAAATATGTTAATTAGACTCTGACAGGCACAAAAGTTCAGCATCTGCGGAGATGGTCCTTAGGGAAGGCAGGTGAAGGTTGGGAACTCAGAGCTACCGGCCTACTGGAGACCAGGGTCTGCACTCAGAAGCCATGCAAAAAGTATGCCAAGTTTAAATGTTCCTTCATTATGTCTCTAAGCTGAGCAAGTATCACAGGAACACCACGGCTCATGCCTAAGCTGGCACTGAAGTAGTAAATGTCATGTGCTATATGAAATTGTAGAAGTCTTCAAAAGATGTTTTGTGTTTCACATGCTGCAGGCTCTAAAAATCTCTGTAAAAAACACTTCCTACAGCCACTGGGTAATCTTCCTCACTACCATGTGAGGGAGAATGGCTTATAGATATGACTTCAGCTGTCCAAACCTAAAGATGTTCTTGCTTTAAAAGCACACACGCAGGCTTTCTGTACAAAACTATAACCAAGACGAGTTAGAACTTCTGTTTCGTGACATATTATCAGATCGAGAAAATAAAAAAAAATATCCTCTTGGAGCACACAGAGATCTCACCTTCATTGCCCCACTGATCTGTTCGGATGCCATTTCTGTCACCTGCTTCAGATCTGCAACGTAAGCATCTACAGAAAAACATAAAGCCCAAATAAACTTCTGAAATGTAACTGCCTCCCCTCAACACTTGTTATTGACTTCACAGAAATTGGACAGAAAAGCAGTAAAGTCCCTGTAGAAAACTTAAACCTACAACACACCCCTTTTGTTACAGAATTGAGGACAACAGCTTGCATGTCTCACCTTGGCATTATTACCCTTTATCACTCAAACTGTAGTTGTGTCTAGCACTCTCAACTACAGCAAGCCACAAAGTTCTTCATTAGAAAACCTACAGCTTATACAAAACAGGAGACACAAAGACAGTATTTGACATAAAGAGAACAGGCATAAAGAAAAACCTTTCAAGCTCATACTAACATTTGAAAAAATTGCCCAAAAGGAGAATAAACACAACTGTGGAGAAAGTGAGATTAAGGAAACCCAGTTTAAGGAGGGGAAAAAATAATCTTACAGCTCCAACAAGTAAGCTTTTGCAATAAAGGCTACATTTTTTTCCTACCAAATATTAACATCAAGAATAAAAAATAAAAATCAAGACAACAACATGAACTGGATTAATTCTGCTGGGTTAATATGAAAAGAGAAGATTTCAGGAACACTAGAGCAGGCAACAGGTACAGAATAGTGGGCCAACAGCACATACGTGATTGCAGTAGCAATACGGCAAGATCACCATCAGAATTCCCATTTTGGATGATTGATTTACAAGCAATAATAATTCTTTATCCAAGAGTTAAACTCTTGAAGTTATTATAAAACTGTTTTGCATGTTCTCTGCCATTGTTCGGTCTGCAGTGCTATGCCATCAAGAGAAACTTAAAAACCAGGAGAGAAGCAAGCATGGTCCTGGGAACTAAGCAGCCTCACCTCCACTATTCATTTTTGGTGGGGTTTCACCAGTGCCTGCAGCAGGATACAAGAGGTGCACGCACCTCTAACACCTTTCAGAGTTGAACACAGCATTCTGCTTTGAAGCCAGTCTCATCAGTTACTCGAGACTAAGTCAATCACTATATTCTAGCAAGAGGTGACAGGGATGCCCCGCTAAAACACAGTAAGCAGCAAGAGGTGATGTTTGGTTAAACTGTCTCCCCGCACACGCAACATGCTGATCAGCCGTAGTTTAGGAACGCATAATCCATGTACGAACACAAATGATCTTTAAAGGTCCCTTCCAACTCAACACATTCTGTGATTCTATGCTGAAACGCAGCATCATTCAGAGTTTGGAAGGAAAATCAGTCCAACAGTAGCCTGTTTAAACACACCACAGAGGCCTATGAATGGACATTCTCCAGAAGGACATGTAGATAAATGAAGCATTTTCAAAGTACTGGGATTAGAAAACTGGTGACGCTATGCAACAGCAAGGAAGGAGTTAAGTAAAAATAATTACTTGGATTATTCCAATTATACAGAATGACTGACACACAGTTAAATGAAATTTGCCTGCAGGAGTTCAGCTTGACATGGACAGCATTATATTCCTCAGTGTTCAAGGCTTTCCAAAACATAGGGAAATGAAAAAAGGAAATGAAAGATACTGAGTAATCTAAACATTTTTGGTTTCTGGCCACTGTACTTGCTAAACTAGGATACATAAACTTCCCAAAGACTGCATAATACCAAAATTCAGCACAAACTCTATGCTATCTTGGCTAGGATTTTGCTGTTACTGAACCTGAAAAGGCAATACCAAAGTGCAAGCTGCTACTAACTTGCAAGTAGTTAATTCACATCAGAAAAGCCCACACAGGAAACCAAAACAGGGATACAAAGTGACCCTTTACTGCTCCCTTTAGCTGCTTTGCTGCATCAGCTGGCACTTCTGGAAGCAATGTCTTCTGTTTACAAAGAGGAAATGATGCCCAGGGTGAAGTCAGAGCAGCAGGGTGAGAACTGGAAGATTTAGGCTCAGGTTCTCAAACTTTGTTTAACACTGCCTGTTACACCAGCTTTATTTACATCATGTGCAGTAATCCACAGTGAGGGTTCCGTAATTATGCTTTTGAACTTCAAACAGCATTGATACATTTCACCATTCTTCAATACTTAAGGAGACAAAACTTCCGATTTCTCAAGGCAAGCCTCAAAAAAGCACATCTCAATCACCAACTGAAAAATACACCACCTTGTTTGAAGGAATTTGTATCAGGAATCTTTCAAAAGCACGTAGCAAACTCACACCGTTATTTGCAGTTGTGTTTCTTCATCAACCCTTACAAATTATACAGGCGGGATAAAATTTGATGCCTTCTTTTGCAAGTTAGGAGACATTGCCCCTACCAAGTACAACACAAACTGCTTTCAATTCCCCGAAGAAACTGACTGATTAGGAAGAGAGACTGAAGCATTTCTAGTATTCACGTAAAAGGAACACAAGATCGGTCAAAGCATAATGTCAGCGATCCATCTAGTTCCCCCTCTGGCCTCCGCCAGTGGTGAAAGAAAGAAGCAAGAGAACCTATCGAGGGTAGCTCTCTGGCAATTTCTACCCAATACCCACCCAAGGGCCAGCTTTTGCCTCGAAGCACAGCGCCTGAGAGCAGACAGGGCTCAGAAGAGGAGAAATGAGTACAATGAACTGATGCATTCAGTTACGACAAACTTCCTATTTAAGCAGTCAATAATTTTAATTGAGTTTAAAGGAAGCTTCTTAAACATTTACAGCTAGCCAGGCAGGCAGTGCTTCCTCAGTACTGTTGCACTCCCCATGAAACCTTTACCTTGAGAAGGCTGTGATCTTATCTCTTCTGGTGTTACCAAAGGTTTGTAGAGCTTCTGCATATGCAAAAAAGAAGAGAAAAAAGTCTGAAATACCTTCTTTGTTTAACAGATGTCTAATATACACACAGCAGTGGGAACAACAGTGAAAGGCTCATAGCAAGAGATGGCAGTGGAATTATTTAGATCATGAATGTATTAGAGGTACAGCTTGTAGATACTCAGTTACTGGAAAAAGTGTTCTGGGTAGCACAGTTAAGTTCACTGCAAACACGTCTCCAAAATCTGCTTTAGTTTGCAGAATTCTATCAAAGCATGAGAACCAAACCGAAATGCAGGCGTTTTGGAAGAACCATTGCCACCTGCTGCACAACTGAGGAAGAAGAGCTGCTCTGGCTTCTAAGGAGCCATTCATAAAACCAGTGCACTTTCACAGAGGAGCAAACTCTAACAGATGGTACATTATGACAAAAAGCTAAGAAGAAAACTATTTAAATAACTACATTCTCATGCCGCAATTATTTATGTATGAGTAGGAACACTCTCCTTCACAGACCACGTTCTCGGGCTCTCAGGTCTTACTCTGAGTCTTGTGACTCAACATCAGTTAGCTGTGACATTACTACTAATAAATACCAAATACAACTAATACTTAGTTGTATTACAGGTGGAATTAGAAGTAACTACCAGGGAATAAAACAAAGCAAAGGCATGGGAACATAAGTTTTATCATCTGCAAGTTAGCACTTTTCTCCACTTCTGGAACTGCCCCTCAACTTTCTTCAACCAAAAATAAGTAGGAGAAAAATTAATTATTCGTCTCTGGAGTTTCACCAGAGAAATATTTTTATAGTTCACACATCTTAGCAAGTTTATAGTAAGAGCTCCAGGCAGAAGAATCAACACTGCCTGCATTATCCTCAAACCTAACAGAACCAATTGACTGAAATACTTGATGGGATGATCTCCTGCTTTAGCAGTTATAGGTAGATCACCACACTGAATGAGTAATTCTCTCCAGACAAACTGCAGTGAACTACCACATGTTCATAGGTGCTCTTTATGCCTCAGAAGACATTCCTCACAGGAGTAGCTAGGGTCAAAAAAGAAAATAAGAATTCCCCAACCAAAAGCAGAGAAACCACTAGGACCTTCAGAGAAGTAGCTGAGAGCGGATAAAAAAGAAAGCTACTTAGTTTACAGAGATAAATTAAAAACTTTCTACATTTTGCAGACACTTTTAGTTAAAAAAATCATCCAGTTGAGGTGGTGCACAATTTTAAGAGTTCAGCAACAGAAATGAGACTGAGGTAAAGCATAGTTTTCCTTTTGTAGAAAGAGCAAAAGGTCTTGTTAAATCTCGGTGTTGTGCAATAGCATATTTTACTTTAGTTGGTTTGTTTGTTCATTTTACATACTTGATATATTGACAAAACAGAGAGATCACAAAAGGCAGTATGTTAGAAAATATCTCAGATTTAAGACAAATGCATGCCCACGCACTTTTACTTGCTGCAGATCATCTATACCTGGTCAACCTAGACAGCTACTTTCGTAACATCATCTTAAACATAAAATAAAAATAAACCCCTGTCTTTTTTAGTACAGAATCATAGAATAGCTGAGGTTGGAAAGGGTCTCTAAAGATTGTTTAGTCCAACTCTGTACTGAAAGCAGGGCCAACGACAGCGGGCTGCTCAGGGCCTCATCTACTCAGGTTTTGAGTAGCTCCAAGGATGAAGACTCCGTAGACTCACTGAGCAACTTGTGCCAGTGTTGGGCTACCCTCACAGGTCTGTTTTGGATTTTTTAATGGTTAAATGGAATTTCCTGTATTTTCACTCGTGCCCACAGCCTCCTGTCCTTTTTCTTTTTTTTTTTCCCCAAAGGAAATTAATGAGCAGTAAACAAAAGGCAGGCGTAACATAATTGCAGGAAAGAAATTTAGCAACCAAGAACACGTCTGGGTTGTTTAATGCCAGTAATTACTTTACACTCAGTGTCAAAAAATCAGAGTAATTACTACACCTATTCATTAATTCACACTACTCTTTTTTTTCTTTCTTTACTGAAAGTACTTACTCAGTGTAGTCATTAGCTCAGCAAAATCGCTTGAAAAAAAGCAAGACAAAAACCTTTTAACTGTCACACACAGCACATGATAATATCTATCTGTACATATCATAACATTTAGTACTTCAACCAGCCACAGATTTCAGAAATTCAGATTTAACCAGATAAATTGGAGTACACTGCCTTGTAAATCATGAGTCATGATGCTGAAGCAGTCTGCTAAACTAACTTGCTGAGCTATACCACAGGCCCAATTCCCTCACAGTTACAACACTTCATAGTAACTCTCATTTTACTGAAGAACTGATTAGAGCAAAAAACCAATTTCATTGTATGACAAAAATCAAAGCAATTATGGGAAGGAGCTTAAAGGTCAACACTGGATGATTTTCTTCTTCAGGTTATACATGGTCAGCAGCTCATATGCAAAGATTTTCTGAAAATCTTCAGTTACTCACCAACATTTCTTGCTCTGCTTTCATGGTTTGAATAGCATGCATCAGTATCTTTTTAGGCCACTGCTTACGCTTTGTTGTTGTCTCTACTATTAGTTCATCAAATTGATCTTCGAGAATTTTAATGTTGGAACCTAAAAATGACAAGCACACAAAGTCGTTGTAGGAATTCTCCTAGTTTTGGCTTCTTTTTTTTTTTAATTTGAGACAAAGTTATAAAGAAAAAACTCACTTTAAATCTGAAATATGAAATCATGCATGATTATTAACGAAGAGATAAATATCTATGTCCTGAATCCCCTCACTAAGGTGATACAGAAATTAGAGCACGACAAAGCTGGCCAGTTACTTTTGAAGTAAATGAGGTGGAAAATCATCTGGGGGAAAAAAAATACCAAAAATTTGCAAAACACCAAAACATGTCTGCTTTCAACATCTGATGCCCAAGAGGCTGCATGCAGTAGGAACTAACTTTCATAGCTTGCTTTCCCAATCATAAGATTAATCTAAATATCTAGATCATATTTTCAGCTGTCAGTTGATGTTTTTACTACCTCTTCCCTGCTAAATATACTTAGCGAATGCAATTAGATTTAGCTTAAGAGACTATTTTTAAAGCTGGTTTCAAAACTGTAACAAGTAAGTACCTGCACTTTCCTGATATTGCAAACTATTGTTACAAACTATAAAAATTTATGAGTTACAGAAGAAAACAAGTAACTGCTCAAGCTTATATTCTAACTGTGTGTAACTGAAAGAGAGGGCATTTTTCTATATTCTTCCATCTGTAAACTCCTGCAATTTTTCTCCTCTATGGGACATTCGAAACACTGACAATAATCTAGTTTTTTTATTGTTTATTTGAATTTTGCAAGCATTTAAATTCACTGTTCTCACTAACATGTGGAGCACAACTTGCAAGCCACATCAATGTTTTCAACCTAGTGGCAAAGAATGGATTTTGAGCACCCTCTCTTGGTCAATCTATGCAGAATCAGGTGATTGAAAGCCTCAGAAAGGCAAAATCGTGGTTTGGTTTTGTTTGTTTTAGGATTACTGTGAAATCATTTAAGTATAGAGAGGAAAGACTCAAGCCACTGGTCAAAGCAAACGCTGACGGGACAAAATGTCAGATCACTTGGTGATTCAAACTGGATCAGAGAGAGGCACACAATGTAAATTTGACATAAATTTACTTTGACACATAAATTTATGTCAAATTTATGTCCTCACACCTCCTTTATGCCAGCTGCAGGAAGATGACAGTATCTCAGCTACAATAAAGTTAGACTTGTGCGGACAAAGGATAACTTACTGAAAAGAACATCCACCTGGACAAAGTTGTCCTGTAAGAACTTCTGAACACATCTGAATTAGTGAAGCAAGCCTGAATCAATTCAGCGCTTTGCATCACGAGCCCATCGCATTTTTGACCTCTGATTCCTTGTCAAAGGAGATGGAGTTTTATCACTCTAGAACTACAACTGCAGAAGCTTCCTGACCAAAAAAAAAGCTTCAGGGAGCTCTTTCTCTATAGCCAGTTCAAAATATTCATATTTTCAGCTCCATGTAACTGCAAAAAGCATTGAGTTGCAGGCAAATTTAAGAAATTTACACAGGTAAGCAAATGAGTCACACATTTTCTTTGGACACCACACTACCAAGAATCTCCATTATTATTCAAGAACCAATTATAAATCTATGTAATGTTTGTAAATATATGATTATATAGCAATTATTTTAAACATTTACTTAATTTGTATATTAAATAGTAGCAACAGATATGCTACTAAGGTCTCTTGATAGGAAGAGATCTTGGACACCATCCCCAACACAAGATCCCTCAGGCTGGAAGGGCCCTCAGGGGGGCTCCTGGGACTCAAGGCTCCTGTTGGCAGCAGGATTTCAAACTAGGCAACACTTTTGTCCAGGTGTTTCTTGGAATCCTTCAGGGCTGGAGGCTACATAAGCTCTTTGGGCAAGCCTATCCAATGCTCAGTTTTCCTAACAGTGAATTTTTACTTCCTTACATCGTCAGAACCTCCCCTTTCCATTTGCCTCTTTCCTCTCGTTCTCCCGCCATACACCTCAGTAATCAGCCTGGCTCCATATTCTCAGTAACCTCCTTGTACGTACTGGAAGGCTGGTTTGTCTTCTCTGGGCTAAACAAACCAGTTTCCTCAGCCTCAACTCACTGGGCAAGTGCTCCAGTCCTCTGGCAGCTTCTGATGAACTCACTCCAATTTATCAACAATTCTCCTATACTGGGGGTCCATACCCAGCACACTACTCCAGATGTGCTCCAACAAGTGCAGAGCAAAGGCAGATAATCAGTTCCCTGGATGTACTGGCTGCACTTCTGTTGCCACAATACACTAGGCTGGCTCATGGTTAATCTGCCAGCACCCTCAGACCCTTTTCATCCCACAGTTCTGCAGGCCCTTCCCAGGTTTAAGGGTTTTGGGCTTTGTTCTTGCTGAACTTCATGAGATTTCTAGATGCCTTTCTCCAAGCTGTTTACATTCTACTGAATGGGCCTGCCCTTGAGCATATTCACTGCAACCCACCCCGTTTGGTAGCAGCTGCAGATTGGATGACGGCACCTTCCATCTTCTTTCTCCTCCACGTCACAGATAAAGACGTTAACAAGAACAAGTCCCAGAACAGACACCTGAGGAACTCAGCTTGTAATCAGCCCTGAGGTAAAACCATTAAACACTACTCTCTGAACTCTGCGATCCAGCCAGGATTCTCACCTACCTAGACCGTAACATCCTACCTCGGATGCTCTCTGGAAGACCGTGTCAGTGAGTACTGGAGCAATTTCAATACAAGACCACCAAGAGGGCTGGCATCTGGAGCATGGGATGTGCAAGAAGTAGCTGAGGGAACTGGGTTTGTTCAGCCGAGAGAATACAAAGCTAGGGCGTAATTTAACTGCTACCCTCAGCTAGTTAGAGGGCAGTTCTAGAGAGGACAGAGGTGTGCAGCAAAAGGATGAGGCAGCAGATACATTATAGAAAAAGGAAATTCAGGTCACAGGATATTATTTTTTCACCGTTGGGGCAGTCAAACACAGAAACTGACTGGGCAGGAAGCCTCCAGACTTGGATCCTATTGTTGTGTTCTAGCTTTAAAAATAGACCACCTTACCTGATTTCGTTACATTCTGTATACTCCCTTTATTCTGATAAAAGAAGCTGATGAAATAAAATATGCTCTTTCCTAACCTCCTGAATGATAAATTCTGCTTTGAAATACCGACTTTCTAAAAGCTTGCTATAGATTTTCCAGCAAGACAGCTGCCATTAAGCTTATCCAAACCTTCACCACGTTAATCTTGGATAGTCTAAGAGTCTCTGGTAGTTAAGAGCAGATCCTTTAAGTTAGGTAGGCATCACCCTGATGGTAGCTGGAACTTGTGCCTCAAGATCTGTAAGGATCTTGACAGAAGTGTCAAAGAAGCAATAGTCCTTCAGATAAAGCACTTTCCCCTTCCCTTTTCTCTTGGATACAGGTCCCGCTACACAGAATCACAGAATTGCCTAGACTGGAAAAGCCACTTAAGATCATCAAGTCCAACCACTAACCTAACGCTGACAAGTCCTCTAAATTATATCCCTAAGCACTCTGTCTATACGACTCTTACATACCTCCAGGGATGGGGACTCCACTGCTGTCCTGGGTACCCTGTTCCAATGCCTGATAACCCTTTCAGTAAAGAAATTCTTCCTCATATCCAATCTAAACTTCCCTTGGGGCAACTTGAGGTCATTTCCTCCTGTCCTATCACTTGCTACTTGGTTGAACAGACCGATCTCCACACCTCTACAACCTTCTTTTGGGTAGCTGTAGAGAGCAATAAGGTCTCCCTTCAGCCTCCTTTTCTCCAGGGTAAACTACCCCAGTTCCCTCAGCTGCTCCTCCTAAGACTCACTCTCTAGACCCTTCGACAGGTTCACTGGCCTTCTCTGGACACGCTCCAGCACCTCAATGTCCTTCTAGTAGTGAGGGGCCCAAAACTGAATATGGTACTTGAAATGAAGCCTCGCCAGTGCCACATACAGAGACAAAATCACTTCCCTGGTCCTTGGTTACCCTTCTTGTTTGGGAACGCTGCTCTGCAAGAATCGCGCTCCCACCACGCAGCACTTTGGATCTTTATTTGGCACTAGGGAGCTGGTTTGACCTTCCCTCCTCCGTGAGCATCCCTAACGCCACAGAGGGCTCAGGGAGAAATCACCCAAGTAAAGAAACCAAACCGAAACCACCCCGCTGGAAACTA